TTCCAAATTATTCTACCACTATTTGCTCTTCTTTTTGGATTTAGAGAAATCTTCAATGACAGCTCTTAATTCATCTTGGGTCCAAGGTGTAAATTCTACAGTTGCCTACATACCTAGCTCATGGAAGGGATGCATCCTTAGAAGCAAATGGCATGTTGAGTTTTAAGAGGACTGTTGGGGAAGACGGTGGTCTGCATGAGAGGAAGGCAAGGAAGGAGCTGCAGAAAAAGAAAGATCAAAAAAATAAAGGAGAAGAAGGAAAACTGAACATAGAGTGATAACTGGAAACCAAGAAGGAGTAGGATTTACCAAGGAAATAATTCTACTTTGTTATTGTTTAAGTCATCAGATTGCTCATTCGCTTTAACCAAAGAATCTTATAGTGAAGCAATTTTAGAACTGAGTTTCATTTGTAGACTTTTGCATACCAACTCAAAAATTATCCATTACATCTGATAAATCATTTTCTCTTTCTTTTCTAAGGGGTTTCTCAGGTAATTGTTTAAGTCTAGTGTTTCCCAACATGGCCACTGACAGCCCAAATCATCTTTGGTGAAATTACACCATTTAGAGAGGTGGGCACTATAATTAGAATTGTAATAAGTGTACATATAAGAAAAAGGAGTTTTTCCTGTAGGATTGGAAAAATCTGACTTAAATGACCCCATAAGGGCTGGCAACAGTTGAAAGTGAAGCTTGTGTAGTTTGCATCTTGAGCCCCCAACCTTGATGATGAGCTGCCTCTAAATGCACACCTGACAACCTGTCTCCCCAGGCAAGTGTAACACCAAAGAGAATGCTCTCTTTGGATCAAAACTAAATTCTCAGAACAAAAATCTAGACGAGAGGATCATCTTACCTAGTTTTATTGGTAACCCACAGCAAAGTTTGTCCAAATGAATGCCAGTCAAATGAAAACCACATTGGTCTGGGAGGCCAGCTCAAATTAAAGGTTTATAGGGCCTATGTCTGTGTTCTATTCTATGGCAACACTTTCAGACAGCACAATGCAAAACAGAAGTAGAAAAGAAGGAAAACAGGGATGAAAAGGAATGGCCTGACTCCACCAAAGATGCCAATCAAACGGAAACTGATAACAAATGCTAGGTACCAAAGTGAAACTAGATAGCCAAAGAATGCAAAATCAAAGACCAGAATTCAGAACCAGTGCTGACCCGATGTGTCAATGCAGACTCAATAAACTGTGTGCAGTGAGGCACAAGAAGCTTTGGTGGGTACTGCACCTGGCAGAGAACTGGGATCCATGGTAACGTGCAGTGCAGACAGTATCTCTGTGGAAACTTCAAAAAAACTACAGAAACAAGTGAAGATCACACAAATGAAAACAAACAGAGGTTAATCATTCAGAGCTTGCTCTAGCAAGGGAGTTGGCCACCATCACTTCTGCCTGGTAGAGACTCAAAGGCAGGCAGGGGAGTGAGAAAACTCCATAGTGGTAAAAAGGGAAGGTTTTCAGGCATGCTCTGACTGGATCTTGCTGTTGGAAGCTGGAGGCCGGCTAAGTAGGAGCAGGGCATTTTGTGGTTTGGGAAGCATATTTGACTTTCTCTGATTGATCCTAAGTTGGAAGCAGGGGCAAAAATTTGGGAAATTGACTCATTGACCAAGCCCTAATTCTTTTGGGCCATTTGCTGCAGCAGTTGTAGTTTGACTTCTTGGACTGGTTGCTGCTGAGGTTGTGGTTTGGTTTCCTCAGCTGATTGCTGCAGAAATTGTGGGTCAGTGTTGTATTGCTATTTATGGTCTGGCCATTGCCCACTGGCATATTTAGTCTTTCATGGTAGAATCCTAACATCATAGATATTAGAAAAAAAACCTGCCTTTAAAATCAAAACAATTGAACTCATGGAGAAAGAGAGTAGAATGGTTACCAGAAGCTGGGAAGGGTAATGGGAGAGTTGGGGGAGGGATGTGCGGATGGTTAATGGATACCAAAAAATGGAATGAATAAAGTGTAGTATTTGATTGCATAACAGGCTATAGTCAATAATAATTTAATTGTAAATTTAAAAATCACTCAAAGAGTATAATTGGATTGTTTGTAACATTACGGATAAATGTTTGAGGTGATGGATATCTCATTTTCCATGATGTGATTATTATGCATGGCATGCCTGTATCAAAACATCTCATATACTCCATACATATATACACCTACTATGTACCCACAAAAATTTAAAATAAAATTCCTTTAAAAAACAAAGAAAAAAGACATCTACCTAATGGACCATATTTTATTTTTTAGCTATTGAACTAGCAGTCACACCATAACAGTATTTGTTCATTCAACACTTTCAACTTTTTAATGCACTTTCAAATACATCATTCCCTCTTTTATCTTTACAACAACCTTGTGATCCTGAGAGGTTAATTACTTGAGGTCACTGAATGAATTTTGGCTAGAATAAGGATTAGATAATATTACAGACTGACTTGTAATATATAACTCAAATTGTTAGGTATAATCACATACAAATGGCTTTAAAATAAATATTTTGTGTTTCATGCTATGATGAAGGATCTGTTCCAATTGCTTCTGATTTAGTTGCTTAAAGTTGAGATAAAATCTTGAAGGAAGGGTCATAGCACCATTCAAATACCTGCAAGTCTGCCATGTGGAAGAAGTATTAGGTTTATTCCTATGACTCCAGAGGGCAGAACTAGTACAAGTGAGTGGGAAGAGAGGCAGATTTCAACGAAGAATATGAAGTATCTTTCTAATAATGAGACACTTGCCCCCAAAAGAAGGTGTTGCCTTGTGAAAGAACCAGTTCCTCATCTCTTACAGTGTTTGAAAAGAACTCCATAATAGAACTCCATAATCCAAGAGCCTCCTTCCTGGAACTGGTCACACCAGCTAACCTCCAGGACATTCATAGATTTCCAGTCTATGAAATGTCATTGAACTTTGAAAAGAGGCGTAGATATTTTGAATACAGCAGTTTAAAGTCATTCAAATTATGGATGAAATTATTTTGTTGTGCTCCTCAAAAACAGCGAGTTCTATTTGAAGTTTTACCCCCAGGCTCTCCTTTGAATTAGTATTTTTGCTCATATACCCATACGTTTTCAAGAAATTTCTTTCTTTCCTTCCTTCCATCCTTCCTTCCTTCCTCCCTTCCTTCCTTCCTTCCTTCCTTCCTTTTGAGATAGGGTCCTGTTTTGTCATCCAAGCTGGGGTGCAGTGGGGTGATCATGGCTCATTGCAGCCTTGACCTCCAAGGCTCAAGCAATCCTCTCAGCTCAACCTCCCAAGTAGCTAGGATTATAGGCATACACCATCATGCCCAGCTATTTTTGTATTTTTTGTAGAGATGGGGTTTCATCATGTTGCCCAGACTTGTCATGAACTCATGGCCTCAGGCTAGCCTGCCTCCTGCCTCAGCCTCCCAAAGTGCTAGGATTGCAGGCATGAGCCACTGCACCTGCCAAGAATATTTAAAACTTTAAAACTGAAAATTGTCCTAATAAGGAGTCTACTAACTTAATCTTCCATCAGCATTGTTTTCTGATATCACAGAAAACTTTACAGCAAATGTATTGCATTCATTCTTGATGTTTTAAGAAATTAAAGGAATTAGACAAAGTAAAAACAAAAATCCATCTCTTTAAAGATGGTAAGTACTAGGATTTTAATCTGCAGTCTTAAATTTTTGAACAAGATCTTTTCTTTCTCAGTGGCTTCTTTTTAAATGGTCCTTCAGGTTGAACGCAATTACATTATTTTCTACTACACAAGTCATGAAGCTGAAATAAAACAGTGAGTTCTCTTCCACACCTCAATTGTGATTGTTCAATGTTCTGCAAGGTCTTCTGATGAACCCATTCTCACCCTGCTCCTTACCTGCCTCTTTAACTCTTTAAATCGAATCCCCTAATTTTTATCAGAAAAGTATTTCCTTTTTATGATAGGCTGTGGTTTCTGCCTTTAAAAAATCTATTCTGGGGATTCTCCTGGAATCTGTAAGAAGTCATTGCAATGGTAAACTAGGCAAGAAGCCGGGGTGGAAAGAAATGCCTTCTGCATAAATCTAGTTAGTCTGAGTCGTTTTTTGACAACTTCCGGGACCAGACTTCAGGCAGTGCTGGAAATTGTTCTCTTTACCATATTTTTTTTTTTTACTGTACATATTTACATATATACACATATGGTGAGGGAGAGAACGTGATGACGTGAGACTCTCCTTGGAGAGTAGGAGGTAATAAAGAAATAAAACAGGTGTCTGAGGAGACGTTCTATTAGAGACGGGAGAATAGAGAGTAATTATCGTTCAGACAGGCAAGAGTTCTCTGCAGGTAGCAGCCTGGGAAAGCGAACTCGCGCACCCTCTTGGGGGACGGGCTCTTTTGCTTTCTATTTCTTCTCCTGCAGCCAGGGTGCACGCGTATTTGAAACAGACCGAATTTCCTCCTCGATGTGGGGTCAGGTTGACTTTTCGAGACTAGCGGATATTTCTTTTTAATGACTCCAATGCCTTTTGTTATTGCTGTTATTGAGGTTGAGGGAGAAGAGATCGGTCTAAATTCTGGCTGGGTAAGTGGGGGGATTCTCGGCGATGAGAAACGGGGGACTTAGAAGCCGGAGGAAAATCAGCAGCCCCCTCATCTCCACTTCTCCAGTCCCTCCACTCTTCACCCGTGACCTCCCATGGAGACCCCAGGAGGCAGCATCAATATTTGATCGACCCTTCGTCTGCACGCTGCCAGCCCTGGCCGGCTGGGCTCGCCAGGCATTGCCCGCTCGGCGCTGAGGCGGACGCCCGGCCCTGCCCCGGGATTTGGAAGGACCCTCTCTGCACTCGCCCCCTCCCCAGAGTGGCTCTGCTTCCGAGCCTGGGCGCGGTGCCCACCATGCGCGGCTGCCCGCGGCTCGCGCTGCTTTGCGCGCTGCCCTGGCTCCTGCTGGCGGCGTCGCCCGGGCACCCGGCGAAATCCCCCAGGCAGACCCCGGCACCGCGCCGCGACCCCCTCGATCCTGCCAGGGGCGCCGATTTCGATCATGTCTACAGCGGGGTGGTGAATCTCAGCACCGAGAACATCTACTCTTTCAACTACACCAGCCAGCCCGGCCAGGTAAGACACTCGCTCCCCTCACTTGACTCCTAGAACTTGCCAGATCTCAGAGCTCCGTCGCTGCTTTGGAGTCCCCTGGGAATTGACCTTGGGAGACCTCGGGGACCAGGGGACGTTTGTTCCCTTTCTCCTCCGAGGCAATCACTGCCCTGCCCGAGCTGCCGCAACACGCCTCGGGGACAACTCTGCTTCGCCTCGCGCCTCCCCTGGCCTGGTCACGGGCATTTCTGGGCTTTGCAGAGGCACCAGTTCCCCGCACCGTCTGCGGGTCCTGGCTCCCTGCTGGGCCTTTCTCCAGGAAAGTCCTGATTTCTAGGGTTGCGGGGTGTGGTGTGGAGCGCGCAGAAGGACCGCACCTTGGTTCTTAATCCCCTGCAGGGAAGAAACCTAATTTCAAGCGGATGATTCAGCCAGACCCTTCTATTTCATAGCGCATGGAGAGGGAGAACTGCTCAGAATCTAAAATGGAAATTGTGTGACAATGGACGGAAGCTGCAAAACCTCTATGCATTCAACAGTCACTTCCTGCGTTTCTGTACCATTGTCACACGTATGTGCTTCAGAGACGCCAGAAGACCCGGGCAAAGACGTGAGAACTGCAGCCATCGGCTGCTCCATCCACGTTTTGATTTTAAATAAGGATGGATAATTGTGTGAAAGTTCTAGACCTATTTTTGACAAGAGTTGAGGGAAGATAAGGAGGGGAAAATGTTCCAGTGACTATCCCTTTGACATACATATTCTGATTATATAATGTAAGGAGATGCATATAGTTCATTTCTTTCCTCTAGTGTTGTACCTCTGGAGCAGCACTGGGCGGGGGGGCGGGGAGAGAGAGAGAGAGAGAGAGAGAGAGAGGGGGGGGGGGGGGCCTCCCCAGTGTACCAACCTCTGGAGCTTCTTCCCATATAAATATGTTTATGTATCTCTTACTATACCAGCATCCCCTACCCTCTAGGGAAATTCCAGAACTAGATGATTGGGATACCATGATATGCCTCCCTCTCTGATTCTCACTCCAGATCAGAACTAGAAAACCTCATCACTTCCCAAAGTGAGCGTGGTTTGTATTGAGCAGGGGGTCCAATGTGCCTAACACTGCTCCCAGACATCTTCCAGCTGTGTGTAGCCAGAAAGTGCCCTGAGTGCCCCATCTCCAGTGCGGCACCAAATCCTGTGGCACTGTCACCATGGCAGCACAGCCCTCACCCTGCTCTGTCCTCCAGTAACCTTCAGGTTATATGTTCTGTAGTGAGCAGAGTGGCTGTGCGCAGAGCTATTCCATGGTAGACAAGGGAGAGGCTGCAGTTTTGTTTCCCAAACCCCACATACCCAACCTCTTTCTATCTAGGGTGGGAGTACCCATGGACTGGCTGACATGTTGCACATGAGGTGTGTTCCTAGCCCTGTGATTGGCTGGGAGCAGAAAAAAGTCTGAAAACTCCATGATTTCTGGAGTAAGTCTCAGCTTCCCCCTAAATCATTGGTAAGAAAACTCAAATTACGTGTGCTAAGTAAATCCTGACATCAGGCTTTGGTATTTCTTGCAGTTCTGCATAGAGATAGAGCGTCTGGTTTTGAACTGTTGCTTTTACATTGTCCCCTTAGTATTGTGTGAGTTTTGCACTTGAGATCACCTGGTTGACTTCCCTGGTAAACCTTGAGATATTGAGGGCAGGGGCAAAGTCATGTTCATCTCTGTACTCCAGTACCTAGCACAGTGAATGGCACATAAGAGGTTTATAAGCCAGGCACAATGGCTCACACCTGTAATCCCAGCACTCTGGAGGACAAGGTGGGAGGACTGCTTGAGACCAGGAGTTCAAGATCAGACTAGACAACATAATGAGACCCTCTCTATACAAAAAAATTTTTAAAAATTAGCTGGGTGTGATGGCACATAAGCCTGTAGTCCCAGCTACTTAGGGGGTGGAGGCAGGAGGATTGCTTGAGCCCAGGAATTTGAGGCTGCAGTGAGCTGAGCTCTTGCCACTGTACTCCCACCTGGGACAGAGTGATACCCTGTTTTTTAAAAAATGGTTTGTTTGTTTGTTTTTTGAAAGGAAAAAGAGGCTTATAAAAAACATTTAGTTTTTTCCAAAAATGAACAAATAAGTGAATAAAGGGTTATTAGCTAAGGCTAAATAAAATGAAATGTATACTGTCTTCAATTTAACAGTCTGGAAAATGTGAGATCATTTCAGATAAAAACATAAAAACAATTTTCTTTTATAAAACAAATTTGGTTTTTATAAAAACACGTTTTAAAAATTGTTCTATTATGCCCTATTTGTCTGTGTGTGTTAACATGTCCTTTATTTTATGAAACGGTTTTTAAAATACTTTTGAATGACACAGTAAAAGGTTAACAACCCAAGAAGTCCCTAGAATTTTTATTAAAATATTACTAGTCTGAGAAATACAAAGTTGGGAACCATGGGAACAGGAGATAACAAAAATTTCAATTATTTTAGTGCCAGTATTCACAATATAAGCCAGATGTCCTCAAATCTTACAGCCTTCTGGGACCAGTCTTTAATATGCAAATGCAGTGGTGGAGCCCTCAAGCCACTTACTGTGGGAAATTAACCTCCTCTCCTACCAGCCAGTATTCCTGTTGCTTTCTCCAGAGAAGATATTTTCTTGATCTGTCTGTCCAAACCATTACTCTCGGTTCCTGCTTTCTTCTTGGTTCTTTTTGTCCTGTGTTAGATATCAGCAGCCCCTTCTTGCAGGAACACAAGGCTGTTGGATGTAGCAGAATTTTACTGAAGGTTTGGAATAACATAGCGGAATGACATCACAGCACAAGACAGCCCATACTGTTTCGACAATTTACCACCAGGGGGATTTCAAGAGAGCGACGCTCTCTTTCAGGTGCTGGTTTGTCACTATCTTCTTGGCCATCCCCTCACACCTCCTCAAATGCTGGTGGCCCCCACCCACTAAATTTTTGTTACCCTCCCATGTTGTGCAATTTTTGCCATCATTGCTTATCCCACACTCACTAAGAGGCTCTGTTAAATAGCGATGTATGACCCCAGATCTATGCTCTTTAGAGCAGAAGCTTGGACATGACTGTTTTCCCTTTAACCTGAACAAAGTCTTGATAAGATAAGTCTTTCTACCCTGCAGGGTCATTGCCCACCTCCCCTCTTCAGTGCAACAAATAATTTGGTTTAGGAAAAAAAAAGGTCTAGTTTTTGAGCTTTAATCTTTGTTTTCCTTTTTCTTCAAGCCATTGTTTCTTACCATTATTTTTCCTGTCCCTTGGAGGCGAAAGTCTATTCTAAGTTCAGGCTTAAAGACAGGAAGCTGTTGTGGGAGCCATTGCTCCTAATCTTTCCTGTCAGCCACTGCATCTCCCATACCAAACTGTCCCAGAGAACTATTCAGCCAAGCTTGTGTCATACTAATTAGCGGAACTCAGCACCAGGAAAAGTCTCATATGCCTTCCAGGCATAGGGTAATGTAAATATGAAGTTGCCTTTAAAAAAATCGCTTAGAGAATGGAGTGACTGCTTTAAATAAAAATGATGAAAATAATAATTGGAGGTGCGGGTTAGGCAAGATCATGATTCATTTCATTTCTCTGGAAGGAGGTGTCTGGAGACTCACTTTAAAAGGAGGAGCGCTATACTGTGCAAACAGGGTGTTCTATAACCACAGGGCTCAGCCAGGCTAGAAGGAAACTACCTTGTTGGGAAAGTTGCCAGGGATATGTTTGACTGAGACAGAAGGCACAATGCAGGTTTACTGGGAAATGAGAATACCCTTGTAGAGACAGGTGGCAGCAACAATCAGATGTTTCTATTTGAGCCAGATGGTGATAAGAAACCCTTAAATAAAATCTAACCACTGGGCAACAGGCTGTCTTCTCTGAGGTTTTTCCGTACGATTTTTTAATTTGAAATATTTCCCTGGAAGTATTTCTTTTGTCTCATTTATTAACTGAGGCATTTATCTTTTAATGACATATACTTTTCCACGCCCAAGGAACAACCCTCAGCTTTATTAATATAAACCAGTAGTTGTACACCTAGAACCAGTTAAACCAGTCTCTTGGATCCAGATTCAAAAAGCCTACCCAGTCCTTAAGAACAATGAAATGTCCATGTGGACACTCCGGTGGTAACTTCTAGCTATACGCATTACTAATTACACGGAAGAATTTAGAACTTTGATTTGATGGCCTGAGTTCTCCCTGTCTCGTATAGGAATGCTTACTCTTTATGTACTGAGGCGGGCTCGAGGCCAAGGAAGGCCTCTCCGCTATCCTCCTATGCCTCTTTTGCGTGAACTGGCACTAGTGGCTCGCTGGAGGAAAGACTCATCTCATTAGCCCATTATCTAAATGATTGGACTGTCTCAGTCCACCTAGGTGGATATAACAGACCACCATCCGGCAAATCTCATGTCTGGTGAGGGACTGCTTCCTGGTTGGTAGACAAGCTCCTTCTTTCTGTGTCCTCCACATGGCCAAAAGAGCAAAGAGAAGAAGAAGCTTTCATGTGTCTTCTTCCTTTTATTTATTTATTTATTTATTTTTGAGACAGATCTTACTCTGTCACCCAGGCTAGAGTGCAGTGGTGTGCGATCTCAGCTCACTGCAATCCTGCTCCCAGGTTCAATGTGATTCTATGCTCAGCCTCACCGAGTAGCTGGGATTACAAGCATGCACTACCACACAGCTCATTTTTATATTTTTAGTAGAGACAGAGTTACTCATGTTGGCTCAGGGCTGGTCTCGAACTCTGCTCAGGTGATCTGCCCACTTTGGCCTCCAAACGTGCTTGAATTACAGGCATGAGCCAGGGTGCCTGGCCTCACGTTCTTCTTTAAGGGCAAACAATCCCTCCATGAACGCTCTTTTGACTAATACTTTCCAAAGGCCCTATTTTCAACTCATACATATTGGGGATTAGGTTTCACATGTGAATTTTGGTGGGAACACAAACATTCAATCTGTAGCAATCACCTTCCTACATTTTTCTCAGAGACTCTGAAAAACAGGGCATCAGTGTGTCATGGGTTGTTTAGGAGATAACATTACTCCAGTTATGGCTCTGATGTTAGGAGGAGCCTGCCTTCTGCCTACCCAGACCTTGACAATCAGGTGCTAAGTTGTGTGATGGATTCTGTAAGTCTGTGCTGTCAATGGCATGAGCACCTTGAAATGTGGACTAGTCTGTAGGAATTGTGCTTTAACACATCGAAATACATCCAGTTTGAAGACCATACAACAAACATAATAGCAATTC